ACACACACACACACACACACACACACACACACACACACACACACACACACACGCGCGCGCGCACGCACACACGGTGTAGCCACGGTTCAGTGGCATAGATTATATCATTGTTCTTACATAGCATATTACCCCGGGGCCGTTGTCAGTAAAATTATTAAGGTAGAGGTTAAGATTTCGACTTTCGACTTCCGCACTTTTGACTAATGTTAATGTTACGAGAAAAAGCGTATCGCAGCTATGAGAAAACCTACGATAACAGGAACTTGATAGTTTGCTGTCACAAGGCTGCTGCGATTGGACGAGAATCGATCACAACACTCTAATTCATACACATTTATTGTACATCACAGCAATTTATGCATAATTTATTATCATGGTTAACCACATGTAAATAATATCTGAGGAAAAAAACGATACGCCCACGTATTTATTCTGTACAGCAACACAAGAAGCGAGTATCATTACCATAGAAATAACATTCTAGTCAGACTACTACTAACTACTACTTTACTAGTATCTCTATATATTTCTATGGTCATGACTCATCAAAATATCTAAAACAAGAGAACAAATGCCACTTGTACATATTTGTTCTGGCAAACGATCGGTAGGTATAAAAGTAGTGCTTCTAACGTGTTTTCCATTAAAAAACATGATTTACTAATTAATATAAAATGTAATATTACTATGATTGTAATTCCTTGAGTCATTGTGTTATTTTCATATTAGTTTTTTAATTTACGAGACGGTCTACGATCTAGTAATGGTAAGAGGAAATTTACTGGGATTTATCTCGTAACTTTACGATGTTTCTGTGAAAACAAGTCGAAGTTAATGTGCAAACTAATGTTAAGACTAATTTTGTTTCTGACTACGCGCCCCAGGAATGCAGGGTTAGAATGTGTATGCGTTTAGTTAGAGTAATTTGCAGCCTAACCAAGTTACAATAGCCATGAAACATGGCAAGACTAAGTTTAGCTACATACTCACGTTACAGTACTTGAAATCTACATTTATGTTACAGAACCCTTACACGAAAATATTTTTTAAACTTACATTACGTTAACTTAGCCTAACTTGAGTTATGTTATGTAGTGTACAGTTTAAGACATGAACAATGAACAATAAAGAAATGTTAAATTTAGTTGTTGATTTACATTTTTGTGATGTACTAAAAATAGAATCGTTTGATATCACAGTAATCTGTGCAACGAGGTAATAAGTAGTCATCATACAGAACATTGAACATTGACATCGAATTTGAAGAAATATTAAATGATACGTAGGAGTAGTAAGGAAAGGTAACTGGAAAGAGAAGTCTCGGTGCTAAAACAAGAATGATACGTTTTTATTAGAAAATTTGTGTAATTGTTGTAACAAAAATAGACAGATTACCCGATTTTGTATTTCATTGCTAGTAACGACATTATACCCAGAAATTCATTGCTGATACCGAGCTATACTACCCGTAATTTTAAATATGCAGTGATCAATGTCATATCATCATATATAGCTTACGTTAATATGTACAGGTTCATAGCATGACCCGATGCGAACTGGGGACGATGGCCAACGATACGCGCATGCTGAACACCTACCTTTCTCGATTCCTCTGCTCAGCCTACGGTATCTGCTAGTGGTGAGAAAAACACATGAAAGTAACGCAATCGCAACACGCGTGAGCCGGTTATATCACATAATGTTTCTTTTTATATACTCGGTAAAGTTACGCTTCATGGACGAATACACTTCGATCAGTATCGCAATGTGCGTGCAGGCACGTACAATTGCACATTGAATGGGAGTTGAACCGGAAAATAAAGTTCAGACATATGTCTGAGTACAGATCACAATTACAGGGAAATCATCTAGAATGACTCATCACATTAGTTCTATAACTTCGAGCATGCGTGCGCAGAAATATTATCATGAAGATCGACATCGGACGAACGGCATTCGGATATGAACTAAATAATATGCGTCGCTATATTTCTCTACTTTTCACACATTCGTCTCACTATTTATTAGCAAACCAGCCGCGACATCTTTCGTATCATATGGCAAACCGTATTATGAAGATTCACATAAACAGAGGAATGAGTTGTGGGTTATTGGTACGTTCATTGCCAACTGGTTCAAACCTTTTTTTCCCGCATATCATATGGACCACCTGTGGCGAGATCAATGTCACATTTTATGAAATCAAAACTAATACTGTCTATTGAAAATCAATATTACCCGCTGAACACTGCTGCCACATAGCATAAACGAGATAACCCATAAATGATAACAGAGCGTACGCACAGGTAAACATGATAACAGAGCGTACGCGCAGGTAAACATGATAACAGAGCGTACGCGCAGGTGAACATGACAACAGAGCGTACGCGCAGGTAAACATGATAACAGAGCGTACGCGCAGGTAAACATGATAACAGAGCGTACGCGCAGATAAACATGATAACAGAGCGTACGCGCAGGTAAACATGATAACAGAACGATATATTACGGCTAACCTCGCCCCTTATATTGCGTAATCCAATAACACTGTGCGCGCGACAGAATAAAATGACGGCTGCACTCGCACAGTGCAGAGTACTGAATTAACAACCTACGTAATTAATATGATAGAATCTCTCCGCCTGTTCGGACTTCATTCACGGCTATACCCCGTACTCTATAAGAATGATACGCGGCCAGGTCCGTCCACCACGTACATCGACAGGGCAAATCTGTGTATAATCTGTAGGGTGATTGCATCGTACTATTTTCCTGCCTCCGGTTACCGCGCCAACCCTTACTCGTCCGCCCTCTATTGGAAAAATCCGCAAGTTGACGAGACTGAAATATAGATGGCCACCGGTCGCCACAGAAATGCAACCGGCCACGTTGCTGCGCCACGTTCGGTGGCAGTCTACATCGCGGCTGCTGCTGCTGCTGCGTGTTCCGCATCCTCATCCATCCCGCCTCTCTCCGCTCGCATGTGCTGAGGCCTAGATTCCCCGCAGATGCGTGCGGCTGCCGCGATTGAAGGAAGTGCCGCTAACGAGCGACGATCAGACAATCAGGACGTTCCCTGGCGCATGTGTGCTCGGACGTGCATCTTCGGCTGCTGCCTCCCCCCCACACACAGTCGTGCAAGCAGACGCTCGCGCAGCACAGCAGACGTGCGCCGCGCCGCTGCATTCACGGCAGAGATTCGGCGCGTTCTGCTCATCTCGACCGACCGATAGCGTACAGCTGAACGCTCGTACACGCGCAGCGGAAGCCAGCACTGTGCTCTGCTACATCTACTAACACTATTACTACGTCTAGCTGCTGCTGCTGCTGCTGCTACTACAACAACAACAACAACTACTACTACTACTACTACTACTACTACTACTACTACTACTACTACTGCTGCTGCTGCTGCTGCATGGTGCTGCTGCTGCTGCTATAATACTGCTCAACACGTGACGTGTTACAAGGCCGTGAAGTCGACACGGGAGGTGCCGCTGATTTCGAATGCCTTCTATCGCACGGATTGCGACGAGCAATGTTGTCGCCGATATACGTCAGAAGGAAATTACGCGCGCACTAGCCGCATAGCATCGTTACACCTAACCGAGTACGACCGAACAGTGAGCTAGCATCACGCTGTCTCCACGCGCGACAGGAGCATTTACTCGAGGGCGACAGAAAGAGAGATATACAACGAGTCAACGCAAAACAGCTGTTCAAGATGGGATTGACCGGATGCATGCGGTGTCTAAAGTACACAGTGTTCGTCATTAACTTGCTGTTCTGGGTAAGTAGCTGCAGCAGTGTGGCTGGTTATACGTGAGGCAATGCCCATGACCATGTCCATGTCGTTGTTACGTGTAGGTTTCATTATGCACTGTTATTACCGTGTGGCTATTAGCTACGCGTGGCAATATTACACGTATATATGCAGTTGTTATTACGTACTATAACGCTCACTTCATGTTGCAATACATATGGCGCGCGCACGCACACACACACACACACACACACACACACACACACACACACACCTGCAACAACGCCACCACACACACACACACACTACACTACACACACACACACGACGCGCGCGCAGCACACACACACACACACACACACACACACACACACACACACTCACAACGGCACGCACGCACAGCGACACACACACGCACCACACACCACACACACACACACACAACCACACAACACACACACACCACAACACGCCACACACACACCACCCACCACACGCACGCACGCACACACAACACACACACACACACCAACACACACACACATCACACTCACACGCACGCACGCACGCACGCACCACCACGCACACACACACACACACACGTACACACACACACACACACACACACACACACACACACACACACACAACACACACACACACACGAAGAGCAAGAGACGATGATCGCGCCACGCATGCACGCACGCACACACGCACGCACGCATGCACGCACGCACACACGTGCCGCAAAGCAAACCGCGCGCTTGTACGCCACACAGGCACACACGTGTATACACACCCAACGTAGCCACACACACCAAGTCAAACACGCGTACCCACATGAACATACGTGCACGCACGCAGATAGGCAGGCGCACATACATACACACACAGACACGCGGCACGCACGCACACCCAGACCCGTGGCCGCAACATACACGCCCGCGTGTCGCATGCACGCGTCCGCGCATGTGTCCCGGCACGTTTCCGCTTACTAACAGCGATAACGCGTCTATTTATGCTGATCACAGCGAACCTAGAGCGGCGGTTATTAATGTTAAACGAGCCTATAAGCTATCGCAACAGTATATTATGTACATATATATACAGCGCGACAGGTTTTTTCTCCCCGCGGCAGCGGGGAACACCATGATGTGGTTAATGATGGTCGGAAGGAAGGGGAGAGGGGGGGAGAGGGGAGGGGAGGGGAAAGGGAGAGGGCAAAGGAAGCTCTAGCTGGGTTTCATGCGCAATGCTGAGCTATTCAGAAGCAAAATCTAAAGCTCCTCACTGCATGATTATTTACTTGTTCGTCTCACGATTTCAATACTATATTTTCACGGTGTTTCGCAAGATGTAGCGTGGTTTCACGCGGTTGTAGGGTTTCACACGTGGTATGTTCACGCGCGTGTAGGGTTTCCGCGTGTAGGGTTTCATGCGTGGTAGGGTTTCACGCGTGGGTATGGTTTCACACGTGTAGTGTTTCACGCGTGTAGGGTTTCACGCGTGTAGGGTTTCACACGTGTAGGGTTTCACGCGTGGTAGGGTTTCACGCGTGTTAGGGTTCCACGCGTAAGTAGGCGTTGCACACTGTAGGGTTTCACGCGTGTATGTGTTTTACACGTGGGTAGGTTTCACGCGCGTGTATGGTTTCACACTGGTACTGGTTCACACGTGGAATGGCTTACACCGTGGGTATGGCTTCAACGCCGTGGTAGGGTTTCCACGTTAGTTTCAGCAGGTGGTAAGTTCACTGCGTGGTTCACACAGGAGGTTTCAGCTGTATGGTTTCCACGCTGGTAGTCACACGTGGTTGTTCACGCATGGTAGGATTTCACACGTGGTATGGTTTCACGCGTGGTAGGATTTCACGCGTGGTAGGGTTTCACGCGTGGTATGGTTTCACGCATGGTAGGATTTCACCGCGTGGTATGGCTTTCCGCGTATAGTTTGGTTCGTCGTTGTGAGTAGTGCGAGGGGAGAACGTGAGTAACGCGACACGCGGGTAGGCTACGTTCACCGACGACGGATGGACGACAAATCGTTAATCTTCTTTCTCGTTTCCCTCGCCGAATTTACTCGCCGAGCGAGTCAAGTGCGGGTTGATTCTCAATCACCTCACTATTCTATCACCGCATTGCTGCCCAGACGTGTGGTGACCACAATGCTGAATGTGTCCGGCATGCGAAGTGACTGCCTTACCTAATTACCCTGTCGAACGAACAACTATATCTGGAAAAGATGATAGTGGCTTTAATATACGTTAGCGGCAGTACCGATACTTAATCAAAACAATAGGTAGACCGACTGACTGATATACACGTCATATATACATGTGTATTATAATGTATACGGTTAGCTTTCGTATTCAATCTTCTGGTTTTGTAGGCAGACAACTGTATTTTACGCACACCGTCGTATTCCATTTGTGGCTATAGTAAATAATCATAGTCGAACGCTCCTGGGCAATTACGTCATCATGGATTTGTCCTAGCAGTCGATCATAGTTATCGATCGTCATATCACAATATTCTATTCGCATAATCTATTATAATTCATGGTAGAATATTACATTGACGAGATTTATCGATGCATCCTGTCACGTGTGGAGATGTATCGATGTATCCTGTCACGTGTGGAGAGTTATCGATGCATCCTGTCATATGAAGATTTGTCTATGTATCCTGCCATGTGTGGAGTTATCTATGTATCCTGTCATGTGTGGAGTTATCTATGCATCCTGTCATGTGTGGAGTTATCTATGTATCCTGTCATGTGTGGAGTTATCTATGTATCTTTCCGTTATGTGTGAAGTTACTATGTATCCTGTCATGGTAGAGTTATCTATCGTATCCGTCTATTGCGAGTTATCTATGTAATCGCTGTTCATGTGTGGAGTTATCTATGTTCCGTCACGTGTGGGAGTTAACCTATTACTCTGTCATGTGTGGAGTTTATCTTATGATCCCTCATGTGTGGAGTTATCTATGTATCCTGTCATGTTGGAGTATCTAATGTATCCTTGTCTATGGTGGTAGTATCTATGTAATCCTGTCATGTGTGGAGTATCTATGTATCCTCATGTGTGGATTATCTTATGTTATCCTGTCATGTTGTGAGCTATCAGGTATCCTGTCATGGTGAGTTAGCTATGTGATCCTGATCATGTGCTGGAGTTAATCTTATGTATCTCTTTGTAGTGTTGAGTTATCTACTGTATCCTGTCATTGTTGGGAGATATCTGTATCTGTCATGTGGGGGTTACTATGTATCGCTGTCAACGTGTGAGTCATCTATGCATCCTGTCATGTGTGGAGTTTATCTTTATCCTGTCAGGTTGATTATATTATCCCATTTCCAGTGTAGGAGTTTATCTATGCATCCTGTCAGTGTGGAGTATCTATGTATCGCTGTCAGTGTGGAGTACTATGCCAGCCCTTCATTGTTGGAGTTACTAATGCATTCCTGTCATGTTGGAGTAATCCATGTATCTGTCATGTGTGAAGTATCTATGTCTCCTTCATGTGGGAGTTATCTATGTATCCGTCATTGGTGTGGAGTTATGCTTATGCTATCCTGTCATGTGTGGAGTTATACTATGTATCCTGCATGCGTGAGTATCTAAATGATCTCTGTCAATGTGTGGATTACTGTGTACCTGTCATGTGTGGAGTTATCCTATTCATCCTGTCATGTGTGGAATTATCTATTGTATCCTGTCAGTGTCTGGTGAGTTATGCTAATGGCATCCATGTCAGGCTTGAGTTATCTAGATGCCTTCATGTGTGAGTGATCAGATCCTTCTGTGTGTGAAGTTAATCTTGATGTATTCCTGTCCTGTGCTGGAGATGTGTCCTAATGCATCCTTCACGGTGTGGAGTTACAGTATCCTGACCACTGATCGTGGAGTTATCTATGATCGTTCAATACGTGTGAGTTATCTATTGCATCCTGTCATGTGTGTGGATTATCTATGTATCCTGTCATGTCGGAGTTATCATAATGTACCTGTCATGTGTAAAGTTTCTATGTATCCTGTCATGTGTGGAGTTACTATGTATCCTTTACATGTTGGAGTTTATCTATGTACCGTTCATCGCTGTGGAGTTATCTATGCATCTTAAGAGACACACAATTTAATGATCAACATATATTGTGTGGGATCCATATTACATGCTGGTTACTAATGCTGCTCATAGTGTTGATTAATCTACGTATCCCCACTGTTTATGTGTGGAGTATCTATGCATCCTGTCAGTTGGAGTTATCCTAGTATGCCACTCATTGAGAGTTATCATGTATCTCCGACAGATTAGAAGATATCCTAGTATCCTGACTAATTAGAAGATTATCTATGTTCTGACTATTAAAGTATCTAGTAACGCTGACGTATTAGAAGTTATCATATGTATGCCTGACGTATTAGAATTTATCTATGTTATCTGGAACGTATTAAAGTTATATCTATGATCCTGACGTATTAGAAGTATCTAGTATGCTGACTGATAGAAGTTATCTAGTATTCGTCATACAGCTAAACGGATCACAGCGCCGACACTCGACTACCCCACAGCGGCCATCGATACTCGATCAAAATTCCGCTTCGATTACTTCTGCCAACGTCTGTCGCTTGTAATACTGGTCAGCCCCCCCCCCACGACGAGATAATCGCAATCCTGCGAGAAGGTTCATCTACTTGGCGCGCCGATAAAGATCTGGAAGGAGAAAGGATATTAGAGTGTGTATTTTTCGGGACGGCGTGGCGGCCAGCTGCGCTCCAGACCGCGTCGGATCCGTGTAGTCTAGTCGCGTATATAGTAACCATGCAACGAAGTTATGAAATTTTGCACAATGGGCGAGATAGTGAACCGCAGGGGACCGGCTCGATTGGCTATTTTGTCTCATTTAATTTTTCTTATTTTGCTAATTTTGTTTATTTAAATAGGAGTAGGGTAGGGTTAGGATTAAGGTTAAGGTTAGGGTTAACCTGATTTCTATAATTCCACAACATACACGAATATAAGCGC